AACTGTTTTTGCAGAATCGTCCATTGAAATATCGCAATTTTTAAAAAGTTCGAAAAATTCGAATTTCATACACAATTTTCCGAAAATATTGCAGTTTTATAATCAACACGCTATATTTTGGAATCAGCTTGTCGAGATCGACATTCCTGAATTTTTTCGCAATTTTATGACGACTTTTTAAAAAGTTATATTTTTCCAATGGTCTTCTTCAAATTTCGGCCAATTTTTTACATTTTCGAAACTTAACTAAATACATTTTCTTTTAGATTTCGAGCTCTAGAACTCACCTCCAGCCCCGTTTCTTTGATGACTGCAACCGTTTTTCCGGAATTGACCGTTTAAATATCGCGATTTTTAGAAATTTTCAAAAATTCGCATTTCCTACCGATTCTTTCGAGAATGTTGCTCCGAGACAATCAACACACTATATTTTTGGAATCGGCTTGTTGAGATCTACGTCTCTGAATTTTTTCGCAATTTTTTGACGACTTTTTTAAAAGTGAAATTTTTCCAATGGTCCCCCCTTCTTCACATTTCCGCAAATTTTTGACATTTTCGAAACTTAACTAAACACATTTTCTGGTAGATTTCGAGCTCTAGAACTCAGCTCCAGCATCGTTTCTTTGATAAGTGCAACCGTTTTTCCGGAATCGACCGTTGAAATATCTCGATTTTTAGAATTCTTCAAAAATTCGCATTTCCTACCGATTCTTTCGAAAATATTGCTTCGAGACCATCAAAACACTATATTTTTGGAATCAGCTTGTCGAGATCTACGTCCCTGAATTTTTTCGCAATTTTTTGACGACTTCTTTAAAAGTGAAATTTTTCCAATGGTCCCCCCTTCTTCAAATTTCGGCTAATTATTGACATTTTCGAAACTTCACTAAACAAATTTTCTTGTAGATTTCGAGCTCTAGAACCCACTTCCGGCCTCGTTTCTTTGATAACTGCAACCGTTTTTCCGGAATCGACTGTTGAAATATCGTGATTTCTAGAAAATCTCAAAAATTCGCATTTCCTACCGATTCTTTCGAGAATGTTGCTCCGAGACTATCAACACACTATATTTTTGGAATCAGCTTGTTGAGATCTACGTCTCTGAATTTTTTCGCAATTTTTTGACGACTTTTTTAAAAGTGAAATTTTTCCAATGGTCCCCCCTTCTTCAAATTTCGGCCAATTTTTGACATTTTCGAAACTTAACTAAACACATTTTCTTGTAGATTTGGAGTTGTAGAACTCACTGCCGGCCTCGTTTCTTTGATAACTGGATCCGTTTTTCCGGAATCGACTGTTGAAATTTCGCGATTTTTAGAAATTCTCAAAAATTCGCATTTCCTACCGATTCTTTCGAAAATGTTGCTCCGAGACCGTCAACACACTATATTTTTGGAATCAGCTTGTCGAGATCTACGTCCCTGAATTTTCTCCCAATTTTGTGACGACATTTTTAAAAGTGAAATTTTTCCAATGGTCCCCCCTTCTTCAAATTTCGGCCAATTTTTGACATTTTCGAAACTTAACTAAATACATTTTCTTGTAGATTTCGAGCTCTAGAACTCACTTCCGCCCTCGTTTCTTTGATAACTGCAACCGTTTTTCCGGAATCGACTGTTGAAATATCGTGATTTCTAGAAAATCTCAAAAATTCGCATTTCCTACCGATTCTTTCAAAAATGTTGCTCCGAGACAATCAACACACTGTATTTTTGGAATCCGCTTGTCGAGATCTACGTCCCTGAATTTTTTCGCAATTTTTTGACGACTTTTTTAAAAGTGAAATTTTTCCAATGGTCTCCCCTTCTTCAAATTTCGGTCAATTTTTGACATTTTCGAAACTTAACTAAATACATTTTCTTGTAGTCTTAGAGCTCTAGAACTCACTTCCGGCCTCGTTTCTTTGATAACTGCAACCGTTTTTCGGCAATCGACCGTTGAAATATCGCGACTTTTAGAAATTTTCAAAATTTCGCATTTCTTACCGATTCTTTCGAAAATGTTGCTCCGACATCATCAACACACTATATTTTTGGAATCAGCTTGTCGAGATCTACGTCTCTGAATTATTTCGCAATTTTTTGACGACTTTTTTAAAAGTGAAATTTTTCCAATGGTCCCCCCTTCTTCAAATTTCGGCCAATTTTTGACATTTTCGAAACTTAACTGAACACATTTTCCTGTAGATTTCGAGCTCTAGAACTCAGTTCCAGCATCGTTTTTTTGATAGGTGCAACCGTTTTTCCGGAATCGACCGTTGAAATATCGCGATTTTTAGATATTTTCAAAAATTCGCATTTCCTACCGATTCTTTCGAAAATGTTGCTCCTAGACCATCAACACACCATATTTTTGAAATCAGCTTGTCGAGGTCTACATCCCTGAATTTTTTCGCAATTTTTTGACGACTTCTTTAAAAGTGAAATTTTTCCAATGGTCCCCCCTTCTTCAAATTTCGGCCAATTTTTGACATTTTCGAAATTTAACTAAATACATTTTCTTGTAGATTTAGAGCTCTAAAACTCAGTTCCGGTCTCGTTTCTATGATAACTGCAATCGTTTTTCCGGAATCGACCGTTGAAATATCACGATTTTTAGAAATTTTCAAAAGTTCGCATTTCCTAGCGATTCTTTCGAAAATGTTGCTCCGTGACCATCGACATTTTCACTATATGAACTGTTTAAGATAGAACTACTTTATGATAACTCAACTCAGTAGGTTTAACTTACAAGTTTTTCGACATCACCACTGTTAAAAAAAAATCTGTTTTATGCAATAATTTACGAATCATTATTTTTAGACGTAAAATATTCAGATTTATTTATTTTTAATTAAAGAAACGTATAAGTATTCTTGGTAGCCCTTATGGTTAGAGTGATAATAAAGCTTCAACTTTATAGCTGCAATAATAAAAGATATATTAAGCAATGCATTTGAAAGTGATAATAATTATATTTTTATTTAGATTTTTGCAAATTTCATGTAAAATTAGTGTTTAATGTAATTTTAATTGTATGTCGTTTATTTTTATGACTTCTACAATCTACGCAATGTTGTTGGATTGTTTACTTTAAAAACTGCCTATTTTACCAAATTAATAACGGACAGACGATTACAGAGACATGGAAATGCGAACTTGCATTTTCATATTTTGGAAGAAATTTTTTTCGCATGTGAAGCACGACCAGTAATTTTCGTATTTGTTTAAGGTCGGTGTAGGTTTTTCAATTAACTTAAAACTGTTTTTATTAAAATGTACCCACAAAATAATCAGTATAATTATGTAAGTTTAATATGTATATAAGTTGTCTGCTAATTTTCCACATTAAATGAATCCCCGTCTCTTCGATAAAAATTCTAGTCAAGTTTAAGTTAATTTTCTTTTCAATTAAAACCTCCATGCCACCAGATGGAGCAAAAAATTCGCCCATCCCTTGAAACAATCCTACATTCTAGTGAAAACCGCCACGATTTGGTGCCAGTGAGACATCACCCATGACGCCTTCAAATCCAAATAAGGAAGTCTTCAGCTTATGGGCTTATTTTGGAGACATGCACCATGATGGCCAAAGCTTGACACTGAGAAAAATATTCTATACTAAGGGCAGCCAAAATTTTTGACATCTTAGAGAAAAGTTGTTATAATAATCTAAAAGAGCTACTTTTTGTTTTTCTAGATTGTAAGAGGTATAATATGCTCTTTTGGCTAAATTCCATACGAATTATCAGATTTGTGATTGCTGTTTTTGTCGGAATGTTCTGAATCTTTCGTCTGAAGGTTTCGAGTTTTCTTCGAAAGATACATTTTTTTCGTCAGAGGCGTGTTTTATATGTCCTTCACCTTTAAAACGAGCCAAATTTAGGTCAGATCAATTATACGTACCAATCTTTAAAATATTTAAGAATAGTATATATTGTACGGTAGTCACGAGTAGTTTCATTTTGATGTACAAAATAAGTTGCACTGGGTTTTATAGGTTTCGTGATATCGTTACTTTTATCTTTGAACGCTCAACCTAAGGTTAATGGTGCCTTTGAAAAACTTTAGATAAGTTAATTTTCTGCCTCATGTATGTAAAAGAGCATTTATCAAAATGAAATATTGCTCGTTAGTCTAAATTAAAAATGAAAATTATATTCTGCTATTTACCGAAACTAATTTCTCTAGAACGTAACTCTCTTTAACATCAATTCTGGATAAAAATGATAAGTTATAACCATGTTTCGTACCAACTGTCTATCGTTATTTGTATCTTTCAAAGCACAACCTAAAATTAATGGTGCCTTTGATAAACGTTCATGTTAATTTTCTGTCACACATATCTTAACTACAATATATTATAATAAAATATTACTAGCTAGTCAAAATTTGACATGAAGTATACATTAAGTTCCTCATACAGAATCCACACGTATTTCTGGGATTAACAGTACAAGTTGTCATAAACAGAGTGTTTTATGTTTAAAATAAACATTTTCTTGTTGAGCTGATAAGTTGGGGTAATTTTTTTATTGATCGCCCCTGAAGTACGATGCAATAAATTCCGCTTCTTGGAAAAATGATACATTAGTGTAAAAGGTTGTTATTCAATTTGGATTTTTTTGCAATAGTCTGGATGCCTAGGGGAAATTTAAGGCGGATTCATAAATTACAAGTGCAGGAGTATGCTGTTACGAAATAAACCGGTACGACGCCTATGGGTTCTAATATGAACGGCGATGATGACTCATCGCGGCTTGACGGTGTTCGCCGGAAAAGAGCCTGGAAGCGGATGTTGCGACGGGTGTTCCAGAACAAGTCTTGAAGCGGTGATGGACCGTCGGGAGCAGTTCGTGTAGTCCAGACAACGAGAGCCAAATTCAGTTAACAAGCCGACCCCAACAAGTGTCAAAAAAACCAAGTGAAGTTGTGCCAGAATTATTTTTGTACATAATCGCTCTGCAATTAGTCGTGTAAATCCAAGTTATTAAGAAATACAATTTTTGAGTTTAACCCACGCCGATTTTAATACCCGTTCAATGTAACAATATTATATAAAACAATAGTGTAAAATTTCATAGTTCTAGCTTTTCTATGACTTTGTAAACCACATTTGGGTCAGCAGGAAGTTCCACACCTACAATATACTCAACAATTTCAGACATATTCACGTTCCCCAAACACCATTTCTGGTCCCCTATATCTCGTAAGAGCTTCGTCAAGCCATGGAAAGCTTTTTCTAATTTCAGTTTCTTAATCGTCTCGTCAAGATCTTGAATGCTAGTGCGCCATTTCTGCCCTAAATTATCACCCTTTACGCGTGAATTCGTGAAATACAATTTTAAAACAACAATCAAGTTCTCCTTTGAATTGTTTCCCTCTTTGGCCATTATCATTTCTTTGATAATATTAATTAAACCATCAAACCCGTAGTTTATGTCTCCCCCCAATTTGTTAGTTACTGTAAAAAATTCCACTGGATTGTTTAAAGTCTCGCTCAGTATTTTTCCCAAGTCAAGGTGGTCTGCCAACTCTTCCAAAAAGTAGCACATTACATGAATCCCCGTCTCTTCGGTAAAAATTCTAGTCAAATTTAACTTAATATTCTTTTTAATTAAAACCTCCATGTTACCAAACGGAGCAAAAAAATCCCCCATTCCTTGGAACAACCCGACGGCCCATTTAAAATCACCGCGATTCTGGGACAGAACATCACCCACCACCGTTTCAAACCCAGATAAAGAAGTCTTCAGCTTATCAGCGCTTATTTTCGAGATGTGACCCAGCGTGGCCAAAGCTTCACACTGAGAAGAATAATCCACACTCAGCGGAGCCAAAATTTTTGACATCTTTTCAGACATATCTTCCGGTATCGATTCCGGATCAAAATGGTAGCCGTGTTTCTCACCAATTGAAAAAATCTCTTTTGGTGGAACCGGATTTTTGAAGTATTCGTCGTAGCTTTGTTTCTTAACAATCCAAGTCTTGTCGGAAGTTCCAGCAGGAATGTAAACTCCTCGTCCATCTTCGTAGGAAAAACCGAAAGCGTCGCCGGTTAGACCGTCGTAGAGGATGCTAATGTTGTTGTGGTAGTCCAAAAGGCCTACTTTTTGTTGTTGGGGGTTGTAAGGGAAGTAATATCCGTGTTTTGCGTAAACTCGAAACAGGTTACCAGATTTGGGGTTGGTTTCTTCACAATGTTGTGATTTTTCTTCGGAAGACACATCGTTTGCGTTGGAGTTATGTTTTCCATGCGCTTCACCTTTGGAACGAATGAAATTGTGGTCGGATGATTGTGATTAGTGGTTATACGTACCGAGCTTTATAATATTTAAAATCAGTATACAATGTATAGTAACCAAAATTGTCTTCATTTTTGGATTTCCCAAGTGAAGTGGTGTCAGGTTCGTACAGTGGTAATTCTTAAATATAAGCTTATCCTAACATTAGTTGTTATACACTTTGCTGTTTTTTTTTACTATTATTTTAGGTGAATTTAGTGTCACTCATATACACACAATTTACCCAAATGATTGGCTAGTCAAAAATAAAAATGCAAGTGAAGTTCTAGTACCTATATATAGAATTTTCATATTGCGCTTTGCAAGTAATAGCCTTTTTATCACTTGGCATAATTACGTAATAAAACTTTAATGTAACCCAAAAAATTATCGCTTTTTATTTTTAAAAAGTCTTTACGGAAACAATAAAAAATTTCTTGTTGATGACCTGATAAGATGATATATTAGTGTGAAAGGTTAAGTATACAATTTGGATTTGTTTGCGAAAATCTGGATGCTCTCGGAAAAACGTAAGGCTGGTTCATAAACTACAAATACAAGAGTATGTTATTTTTAAAGTTTTAATAGGTTGTATTATGAAAAATCTGATGTGGCATCCTCTTATTTTAGCAAGTACTAACCCCGCCCACCCGCCCTATATTTTATTACAGGGAACTCATTTGCCAAAATCAGTGTTGTCTTAGCAGCTACTAACCCCGCCCACCCACCCTCTCGTTTCTTGGAAGATATGTCATTTGCAAAAATCAGTTTTTTCTTAACAGCTACTAGATAGGATAAGACTGATTTTGGCAAATGACATACCCTCTAAGAAGAGAGGGTGGGTGGGTGGGGCTAGTATCTGCCAAGATAAGACTGATTTTGGCAAATGAGGTACCTTCTAAAAGAAAAAATACTAGAAAATACATGAAAAATTGTAGAATCGAAAAACTGAAAAATCACAAAATTGAACGAAATATCCAAAAATTGGGAAATTAAAAAATTGAAAAATTGAGAAATCGAAAAGTCAAAAAACCAAAGTCGAAATATTACAAAATTAAAAAATCAAAAACCTGAAAAATCGAAAAAGTGAAAAACTGAAGAACTGAAAGATCGAAACTTTGGGAGGTCGAGAAATGCGAAAATCAAAAAATAGATTAATTGAGAAATCGGAAAACTGAAAATTCACAAACGTCAAAACTTGAAAAATTAAAAAATATTGAAGAACTGAAAAATCGAGAAGTTGAAAAATTAAAATCTGGAGGAATGTGAACATCAAAAAAATAAAAATTCGAAATCATAAAATTTAAAAATCGAAAAACTAAAAAATCAACAAATCGAGAAATCGAAAAAAATTGGAAAATTGAAAAATCGGATAATTTAAAAATCGAAAAGCCAAAACTAACAAACAAAAAATCGAAACATCGAAAAATTAAAAAAATGTGACATCCAGAAATTGAAAAATCAAAAGAACGAGAAATTAAGTAGTCGAAAAGTCGAGACGTCGAAAAATTAAAAAACTGAGCAATCAAAATGGGCCGAAATCGAAAAATCGAAAAGTTAAAAATGGAAAAATTGATAAACCGAGACACTGAATAGTCACAACATCGAAACAATGGAATCTTGATAAATCGAGATCTCAAAAAATTGAAAAGTCTAAAATTAAAAAATTCGGAAAATTAAAAAATTAAATTATAGAAGAACTGAAAACTGAAAAATCGAAGGATCTAGAATTTTAAAAATTGAAAAATTAAAATATCGAAAATTTGAAAAATTGAGAAATCGAAATATAAAACAGTCGAAAAATTGAAAAATCCAAAAAATTAAAAAAATAGAAACATCGAAAACTCTAGAAGTTGTTCAAAGAAACGAACTGTTGAAAAATTGGGAAATTAAAAAAATGGAAAATTGAGAAATCGAAAAACCAAAAAAGCTAAGTTGAAAAATCGAAGAACTGAAGAACTAAAAAATCGGAACTTGGATAAGTCGAGAAATGGGAAAATCAAAAATAGATTAATTGAGAAAGCGGAAAACTGAAAATTTAGCAACGTCAAAATTGAAAAATAGAAATGCTGAAGAAGTGAAAAATGAATACATCGAGAAATCGAGACATCAAAAAATCAAAAATTAAAATTCGAAGATGTAAAATTTAAAAATAGAAAAACTGAAAAATTGAGTCGAGAAATCGAAACTCCACAATTTAAAAAAATGAAAAATTGAAAAATCGGATAATTGAAAAATCGAAACATTGAAAAATTCGAAAATCGAAAAACTGAAAAGCCCAAAAGTAAAAAATCGAAAAACCGAGATATCATAAATCGAAACAGAAAAAATCAAAAACCGAGACATCGAGAAATCGAAAAATCAGAGGATCGAAGAAAAAACAATAAAAATTGAAAAACTGATGAATCGAGAAATTGAAAAATCGAAACATCTGAATTCGATAAATCGAGATAACAAAAATTGAAAAATCGAAAATTTTGAAAAAAGAAAAACTGGAAAATCGAAAATTTATAAATTCGATAATCGAAAAACCTAGAATTTTAAAAACTGAAAAATTAAAATATCGAAAAGTTGAAAAATTGAGAAATTGAAGTCTAAAACAGTAAAAAAATTAAAAAATCGAAATATTGAAAAATCCTAAAACTGAAAGAATTATCCAAAAAAAAACGAGAAATTAAAAAAATTGGAAAATTGAGAAATCGAAAAAATAAAACAGCAAAGTCCAAAAATCGATAGCTTAATTTAGATTGAAAAATTGAAGCATAAAGAAGTGAAAAATCGAAACTTTGGAAATTCGAGAAATGGGAAAATAAAAAAAAGACTAGTAGCTGGCAAGATAAGACTGATTTTGGTAAATGACATATTCTTTAAGAAAATATAGCGCTGGCGACTGGGACTAGTACCTGTCTATTTTTTAGGGTATTTCATTTGCCAAAATCAGTGTTATCCAACCAGGTACTAGCCCCACCCACCCACCCTCTCTTTTCTTAGAGCATATCTAATTTGCCAAAATCGATCTTATTTTAGCAAGTACTAACCCCGCCCCCCCGCCCTATATTTTATTAGAGGGATCTCATTTGCCAAAATCAGTGTTGTCTTAGCAGCTACTAGCCCAGCCCACCCGCCCTCTATTTTCTTAGAGAATCTTATTTGCCAAAATCATTCTTATCTTGGCAGCTACTAGCCCCGCCCACCCACCCTCTCTTTTCTTGGAAGATATGTCATTTGCAAAAATCAGTTTTTTCTTAACAGCTACTAGATAGGACAAGACTGATTTTGGCAAATGACATACCCTCTAAGAAGAGAGGGTGGGTGGGCGGGGCTAGTATTTGCCAAGATAAGACTGATTTTGGCAAATGAGGTACCTTCTAAGGGAAAAAAGTCGAGAAATCGAAAAGTCCATTACTCGAAAAATCGAAAATTCGAAATACTAGAAAATACATGAAAAATTGTTGAATCGAAAAACTGAAAAATCACAAAATTGAACAAAATATCCAAAAATTGGGAAATTAAAAAACTGAAAAATTGAGAAATCGAAAAGTCAAAAAACCAAAGTCGAAATATTACAAAATTAAAAAATCAAAAACCTGAAAAATCGAAAAAGCGAAAAACTGAAGAACTGAAAGATCGAAACTTTGGGAGGTCGAGAAATGCGAAAATCAGAAATAGATTAATTGAGAAATCGGAAAACTGAAAATTCACAAACGTCAAAACTTGAAAAATTAAAAAATATTGAAGAACTGAAAAATCGAGAAGTTGAAGAATTAAAATCTGGAGGAATGTGAACATCAAAAAAATAAAAATTCGAAATCATAAAATTTCAAAATCGAAAAACTAAAAAATCAACAAATCGAGAAATCGAAAAAAAATGGAAAATTGAAAAATCAGATAATTTAAAAATCGAAAAGCCAAAACTAACACACAAAAAATCGAAACATCGAAAAATTAAAAAAATGTGACATCGAGAAATTGAAAAATCAAAAGAACGAGAAATTAAGTAGTCGAAAAGTCGAGACGTCGAAAAATTAAAAAACTGAGCAATCAAAATGGGCCGAAATCGAAAAGTCGAAAAGTTAAAAAGGGCAAAATTGATAAACTGAGACATTGAATCGTCAAAACATGGAAACATCCAAATCTCGATAAATCGAGATCTCAAAAAATTGAAAAGTCTAAAATTAAAAAATTCGGAAAATCAAAAAATTAAAATATAGAAGAACTGAAAACTGAAAAATCGAAGGATCTAGAATTTTAAAAATTGAAAAATTAAAATATCAAAAATTTGAAAAATTGAGAAATCGAAATATAAAACAGTCGAAAAGTTGAAAAATACAAAAAATTAAAAAAATAGAAACATAGAAAACTCTAGAAGTTGTTCAAAGAAACGAACTGTTGAAAAATTGAGAAATTAAAAAAATGGAAAATTGAGATACCGAAAAACCAAAAAACCAAGTTGAAAAATCGAAGAACTTAAGAACTAAAAAATCGGAACTTGGATAAGTCGAGAAATGGGAAAATCAAAAATAGATTAATTGAGAATGCGGAAAACTGAAAATTTAGCAACGTCAAAATTGAAAAATAGAAATGCTGAAGAAGTGAAAAATGAATACATCGAGAAATCGAGAAATCAAAAAATCAAAAAATTAAAATTCGAAGATGTAAAATTTAAAAATAGAAAAACTGAAAAATTGAGTCGAGAAATCGAAACTCCACAATTTAAAAAATTGAAAAATTGAAAAATCGGATAATAATTGAAAAATCGAAACATTGAAAAATTGGAAAATCGAAAAACTGAAAAGCCCAAAAGTAAAAAATCGAAAAACCGAGATATCATAAATCGAAACAGAAAAAACCAAAAACCGAGACATCGAAAAATCGAAAGATCAGAGGATCGAGGAAAAAACAATAAAAATTGAAAAATTGATGAATCGAGAAATTGAAAAATCGAAACATCGAAACATCTGAATTCGATAAATCGAGATAACAAAAAATTGAAAAATCGAAAATTTTGAAAAAAGAAAAACTGGAAAATCGAAAATTTATAAATTCGGTAATCGAAAAACCTAGAATTTTAAAAATTGAAAAATTAAAATATCGAAAAGTTGAAAAATTGAGAAATCGTAGTCTTAAACAGTAAAAAAATCGAAAAACTTCGAATCAAAAAATCCAGTAGTCCAAAAATCGACAAGCTGAAAAATCGAAATATTAAAAAATCCTAAAACTGAAAGAATTATCCAAAAAAAAAACGAGA